GGAAGGGCCCTGGGCTGATTTTTAGAGTAGTACACAGAAAATGAATGACTCATCTTTGTCTTGTTTCTGCAGTTTTAAAAGCCCAAATTATGCAATGCTGACTCAAATGTGCCAATGTGAAGCAGTATGTGTCAATATCATAAACATTGCCTTATTCAGAATATTTCCAGTTTTGCTGCCCTGAAATCGTATTGGATGCCTTTAAGCAGCTACAACTACAAGCAAAATTTTCACCGCCGATTACGATTGACGTTAAATTTTCAGACCTGATTATGAACAGTTACATGTTACAGCTAATATACTGATTACGAATTACGATGATTTTGGGAGGCTGCCTACGGATTACACAGACTAAAAAGGCCTGATTACGCCTTACGAAAAAGGGCATGTAGGCCTTCCTACAATTGAGTTAAGTTTTGCTTAGCTAGAACTTAGGCCACACCAATTTAATTTGTTGGTTCTCGGATTTTTTCAGAAAAAATATGAAGCGACAGGGCGAAAAAAAATTAAAATAAAACAGGTCTAGGCATACTATTATAGGCTTAAATGCTACAAAATGAGCCATGAAGTCAACACAAAAGGCTGGGTTAAAATTTAAACATTGATTTTGATTGAATTTTGAACTTTTAATCAAACCACTGCAATGATAGATGGGAAAAATGTAACAACTAGGAAGAAAAGGACTTTCCTCAACTGTTGGGGGGCAAAACATGAGCATTTTTCAGTTGATTCAGGACCAGAATCAATTTTTTTTTTTTTGCAAATCAGAAAAAAACGAAGAGGCGAATCCGAGAACCAACAAATTAAATTGGTGTGGCCTTAGTAGAAGATTTAACAGAGGACAGGTGACTGAAAATTTGATGAGTGTGTCTAAGGTGGATTAGGTCCCTGTCAGAGATGAGACAATGTGAGATGCACTGAGGAGGAATGATGGCACTGGAAATTAGATAAAGGAGTGGTCTTTCTCCCTGTAGGCATCTTTACTTCTTTTAGTCTGATTTACAGTCTCAAAATTTAGGTCCCTAAGGCCATGTTGATTTGATTATATGGATGACATCCCCGCGCGCATGAATTTTCGGCCGTTTCCAAAAAAAAAAAAGTTTTCAACCATACTGTAAATCGTACAAAACAGTTGTAAAATGAGCAAAAATATACCGTAAGTTACAAAAAAATAAGTAAAAACTATACCAATGTCGTAGAATGCCAAAATCAAACAAAAAAAGACGAAAAAAATTGTAAGGAAATGAACTTGAAGATTAGAATTTAGATTATTCGCCAAACCATATTCTGTCCCATTTGTTCAACCCTCATGACCACGTAGATTTCATAATGAAAACAACTTTTTTTTTTGCAAAACTTTTTATTTATTCGCACGCGCGCATCAGTTTTGGGGCTCCCGGAGGATGTCATCCATATAATCAAATCAACATGGCCTTACGAAAAAGGGCATGTAAGCCTTCCTACAATTGAGTTGAGTTTTGTTGAGCTAGAAGATTTAACAGAGGACAGGTGACTGAAAATTTGATGAGTGTGTCTAAGGTGGAAGGTCCCTGTCAGAGATGAGACAATGTGAGATGCACTGAGGAGGAATGATGGCACTGGAAATTAGATAAAGGAGTAGTCTTTCTCCCTGTAGGCATCTTTACTACTTTTAGTGGGATTTAGGCCGACTTTAGACTGACGACGGTATACGATCGCACGACAATCGTTGTGGGCGACGGCTGGCTTTAGACACATGACCAGAAAGTGTGGCGGACACCCGCAGCGCAGGATGGCACGCCGCGCGCCAATGCAAAATGGCGAGAGAACCCCTATTTCGGCATGCTGCAGCAGATTGTTTTTATTCTGCTTTTAACTCGTTGTCCTGAGGATGAGACGCTGAGTTTGTGCCCAGCAAAGAAGGGGGTATATGGCACATGTACCAAGCGGGGCAATACTCCGGGTTTGATCCCGGCGTTCGGTGCTGCCGTCAGCCTGGCTACATTGGCCGGAATAAATGTGGATCGGCGGATCGGTTCGTACTGGAGAAGCAGCGATTGGTGGCAGGGGATTGTACTAGACACGTATGATGATGTCTTTGGTTTGACGACATTTAATGATACAGGCGATGTGCTTGGACATGAAATAACGCTTGCAGGCTTATTTGCATAAGGCCAATGACCTCCCACTTCCTTCGCCGGCGACGGTTCACTTTAGACGGTGGAAAATCCTCCTAGGACCCCCCGCTGAAGGATTGCACGATAGGGTCCGAGGTGATAGTGACGACGATTCGAGGATTACCGTCGTGCGACTATTTTGATTGTCTTTAGACGGTGGTAAAATACCGTAGCCGGCAACATCTTGACGATAAACATTCGTACGACTACCGAACCGTCGTCAGTCTAAAGTGCCCCTTACAGTCTCAAAATTTAGGTCCATAAAGTGATTGTGTGTCATGAACTGTAAATTCATCAAAGTTTGGGCGGACTTACTAGTAGTAATTGCAAGGTAGCTTATGGAAAATTAAGTGTGTGCAATGTTTAAAGTTTGTGGTTGGCACATATTTTTGAATAATTCCTGATTGAAAATCTGTATTATTGATGGCACAACAAGTTTGCTGTGAAGAGGTCATACCTAGCCTGGGTACCAAACCTTTGGTCGGCTTGGCGGTATTTTTTCGGCCCCGGCCTTTACCATTAGCCAAGGCGAGTTATACCACGGCCCTATCTCCAGCTGTTTCCCTGTATCCGCTGACTTCCTGTATTACGCTTGGTCTTCTTTTGCCGCCGACTGTGAGCGAAGAAACCTAAACCCCCCGAAGCGCGGTAATTGAGGCCTGGTTGGCGGGCCCAGACGCTCTCTGTGCCGAAGGGATAGCGCTGAGCTCACGGCGGTCTGGTTACCAGGTTATAATTAGGTCATACCATACCTAGTACTAGTGACAATAGGAAACATACAACTGCTGCAAATATTTCAGGAGTTACAGTAAGACCTAGGAAAAAAATGTTGTATTTCCTGTTTCCCTACCAACCCTAGAAAAAACTGCCGACTCTAGCCGTTTTGTGTGTGGGCTCCTGCAAGGGACATACTCTCATCTGCCAAATAAACATACGGGTACGTTTATTTTTTTTGGCCCAAACATCCACCCAGTACGTTCTTATTTTGCACAGTACGTTTATTAATTTTTTTGAAAACCAGTAATTTTTTTCAACTTCGTGTGAAAAAAATTGACAAATCTTCGACGTGAAGACGTTTATAAACGCGTATTGTAGCGAGAAACTTGTCATTTTCGGGCCGGTTTTTGCAATCACCGCGTGCATAAATTCGTCTGAATGTTCTATTGTCATGGGTGGTGCTTATCAAAATACGATATATTAAATGCTCTTTTTTTGTCTATTTAAATTCCTAATTGCAAATAACAGTTAAAGATTTGTGCATATATCAGTAAGGGCGCATTTTAGTACAAGAGACACAGGTTACCCGTCAATTTTGGTAATTTTACCGGGGGGGGGGGGTACGTTTATTCCGGGGGTATGTTATTTGATTTTG